TCATTATCCTTGTCAATTTTATGAGTTTCCCTCAAAGTTTTTAGAATTGTTGGGGGTACCTCAAGGGATGACAAGTATAGATATTTGACCTTGAAACTCGGTTCATCCTCTTCTTTGACTAGCTGGAGCTCCGCGTCTCTTTCTTCTTCTACTTCTTCTGGATTTTGGATCTCCTTTTGCATTTCCTTCTCATTTGTCAATGTGATTGCAAAAGTTTGCTGTTTAGGATCACATTCTATTTGAGAGGGAAGTTTTTCCGAATCCCTTGCTTCAAGCCTACTTACGGCTCCGGCTATTTGAATCATTTGAGATTCCAAGTTTGAAATGCTAGACTTGGTCTCATTTTGGAATTGCACCATGTTGTTGTGCATGGTGGTCATGTTGGTAGCAATAGCCCGGACCATATCCTCTGTAGACATGTTAGAGTTGGAGAACGGATCATACCTCATGTGAGGTGCATCCCTTTCGTAACCAACATCATCAATTTGTTCAAGGTATTCATCTTGGAGCTTTGGGCAGAAATCCGTAAAATGCCTGTGAGACATGCAAATGTTGCATGCCTTGGCATCTTGAGCTTCCGAGTTTAAGATAAATCCCTTTATTAGAGAAGTCAAGAAGGAAATTTGACTCTTTAAGGATGATATGTTGGCATCCATATACTCATAACTCATGTAAGCTCAGAAAATAGAAGAGTAAGATTTTTTTTTTAATTTTTTTTTTGTTTTTGATTTTTATGAGATAAAATAAAAAGAAAAATAATTGCCTTTCCCCGGCAACGGCGCCAAATTTGACGTGCACTTTGTCGTGAGTGCACTCAAAGTAAATTTCAATACTAGCACTAATACATAGTATAGTGAAGTAGAGTTCGTATCCACAGGGAAAGGAATAATTCTCTTTTTATAAAACTAGTAAATAAAAGGGGGGTTTTGGGATTGAGTGATTTAATTAAATTAAACACGAAGATGAACAAGTTATATGTGATTTAATTCAAAGATAAAAAGGACTTGGCATTGCTACTTTCCACTTGTTGATATATTTCAGTCGATCATTGTTATATCTATAACTTATCTCCTCTCGAATACTCAATCGAGGAGTATATCCAATTCATCGAGGAAAGTTATTAACAACGACCGTTCATTAATAACCCTTACTATTAGTCAAGTATAGAACAACGCCATATACCTACTTGATAGTAGCATTTAATCTCTTAACTCCTTGATGAAATCAATTGAGATTGATAACCTCAACACAACGGTTTCGGTTTAACCAACAAAATTAATCCCTCTTAAGTTTACTAACCACGACCGTGCATTAATAAACCGAAGTTACTTACTTGTGAAACCATCAACGATTAACCATCGATTCGTTGATCGTTTCTAGTAATAATTAATATTTGAAACAAAACTAGTTGATCCTTTAAGTAATGTTCAAAAATATTAATATGAAATATGAATAGGAATTAATTAATACTCAAGGAAGAATATTAAGGAAAATGAATCCTACTATAGTTAATATCAAGATGTTAACTAATTGTCATCTTAGTAACACTCCCCAATATTAACATAGAGGAAGGAATAGCTATTACTAAGACCAATGTCAAGATGTTAACTAATTGTCATCTTAGCAACACTCCCCAACATTGATATAGAAATAGTATTTAAGAGAAGCATTAATATTCAAGGAAAGAAGTTAAGAAAATAACTCACAACTTTAATAATCAACAAGCTTCAAGAGCAACACCAAGAAATGAAAGTTTAGCTCCTCATTTGGAGAGTAAACATGCTATAAAAATATAAAAGAAATACTATTCTAAACTAAGCTTAAGAGTATGGAAGAAGGGATCATTAAAAGTGAAGGAAAATGGGGCTATTTATAGGTGTTTTGAAGGTGCTGCACCGGATACCCGGCCGGGTATTTGAGATACCCGACCGGGTATTTGTCAAAATCAAATATTTTGCCCACGATTTTGTGTTTTCTGCACGTCTTTTTGTCCGGGTCACTTCATACCCGACCGGGTAAAGGCTATACCCGACCGGGTAAGTCACCAAATCACATTTTTTGCATGATTTCTTGTTCCCTTGCACTTTCCTTTGATCTTGTAAGATCCCTTCCATGATCCTTTGTTGATTCTTGATTGTTTCTTGCTCAAGATGATTCTAAATTTACTAAATTACAACAAACTAGAAAAATAAAATGATTGCACCTTAAATGTGCAATTACCACAACAACACACCATAAAAAGTAATTAAAAGTAAAAATATAAACACTCAAAAATCAATGCAATCAACTTCTGTTGATGAGAAAAGCCGCGGTGTTCACTGCATCCGCCCAAAACATCTTCAGTAAGCCACTCTTCAACATCATGCATCTTGCCCGCGCATTCAGTGTTCTGTTCATGCGTTCAGCAACACCATTATGCTGCGGAGTCCCCTTAGTTGTCTTCTCCATACGAACCCCATTCCCAGCACAAAAATTCTTGAACCCATGCAGTTCATACTTACCTCCATTATCTGACCGAAGGCACTTCAACTTCAGACCTGTCTCTGTCTCAACACGAGCTTTCCACCTCTTGAAAGCATCAAAGGCATCAGATTTGTTTTTGATAAAATAAACTCATACCTTTCTTGTGGCGTCATCAATGAAGGTCATGTAGTAAGCAGATCCTCCTAAGGATATAACTTCTGCAGGTCCCCAAAGGTCGGTGTGAACTAGTTCCAGCTCTCCGGTTTGATAGCTTGCCTTCCCTTTGAGAAATTGACACGTTTCTGCTTCCCGAATATGCAGTCCTCGCATAAGCCAACCTCAACAGTCTTCAGACCGGGCAGTTTGCCCTTCGAGCACAGCTCCTTCATCCCCTTTTCGCTCATGTGACTGAGCCGACAGTGCCATAAATTCACATCATTTGTTGCAGCGGCATCAACATCGATGCAGTCCTTTGAGTTCGTTGTCATGTACAACGTACCCTCCTTCTTCCCTTTAGCAACCAGCAAGGCTCCCTTGGTGATCTTCCAATTTCTGTTGCTGAATGTAACTGCATAACCTTCCTCATCCAGTTGCCCAATTGGAAGAAGATTCCTCCTCAAACCAGGAATGTGTCGGACGCCATTCAGTTTCAGCATACATCCGTTCGGAGTCTTCACGTGGATTGTCCCCTTCCCGACAATTTTAAGAGGCTCATCATCAGCAAGATACACCTCTCCAAAATTGTCAGGAGTATACTGTTCCATCACTTCAGAATTACCACATGAATGGAACGAGGCTCCAGAATCCAGAACCCATGACTCCAACGGACTGCTCACGCTCAGGATCAAGAGATCATCACCTGATGATTCTGCCGCTGCATTGGCAGATGTCTTCTCTTTCTGATCCTTTATCTGCTCCTTGCACTGGCTCTTGAAGTGTCTGTACTCCTCACAATTCCAGCACTTGATCTGACTTCTGTCCTTCTTGCCCTTGCTGTTTGACTTGGATTTGGATCTTGATCTATCCCGATTTGACTTGGACTTTGACTTCGTTCTGCCCCGGTTCTCTGTACTCAACGCCGATCCAGAAGCCAGGCATGATTCCTTCCTGCGAATTTCTTCGCTGACCACCAGATTTCTGACTTCATCAAATTTCTGTTTCTCTTTCCCTTCCGAAGCGCTGACTGCAGTCACTGTTCCGTTCCAGCTTTCTGGGAGAGAAGACAGCAGAATAAGGGCATGAATTTCGTTGTCGAATTTTATCTCAACCGCGCTCAACTGTGTGGTGATTACATTGAACTCGTTGAGATGATCCACCACTCCCGTACCTTCTGACATCTTCAGGTCAAAAAGACGCCTCATCAGATGAACTTTGTTCACAGCGGAAGGTTTCTCATACATATCCGACAAAATGTGCAACATCTCCTTCGTCGTTTTTGCTTTGACGGTGTGTAGGGCGATGTTTCTGGACAACGATAATCGAACCACGCTCATCGCTTTTCTGTCCAGCAACTTCCAATCGCTCTCCTTCATGTCTTCCGGCTTATCATCCAGAGGTTGATACAGATCTTTACCGTACAGGTAATCTTCGATCAGCAACTTCCAGAATCCGTAATCCGTTCCGTCAAACTGCATCACCGGTGTCTTTGTCTGCCATCGTGAGATCTCCCTTCGAACCTAGGGCTCTGATACCAATTGTTAGGAATTACACTCACGCACACGAAAAACAATAACGAAGAACACACAAAATTTGGTAACCCAGTTCGCCACGAATGAATACGTCTGGGGGCGCTACCAAGCCAGGAATATTATTGCTATTTTCGGATCCACACACAATGATTACAAGGGAGAGAGCTTGTATTTATAGAGAAGTAAATCCTAACCCCAAGGCAACTAGGATGTGTTTCCTAAATTAAATTAAGGAACGTGTTTCCAAAAATAAATTAAGAAACTGTCTCTAACACCTTACAGACCAAACCCCTGTCTTCCGCCCATGACCAAGAGTAAACAAGATGATTGTGGTATTCCTAGCTATAGAGATCTTGTTCTCTTTCAATCAAACACAAATGTAGAATAAAAACCCAACGTCGCATCAACCTTTGGCATCGATGTGACACTTACAAAGAGAAGGTCACAAGTTCGAATCACATCCTAGTTCAATGATGTTGGCCTTAACGGAACAGATACTATAATAGGTTAGATAAATTTGCCAAAAAAATGCCAAAAGTGTTGTTAACTTTTATTATTACTACGTAATTTGTTTATTAAATTTACAAATCTTACATGCATATATGAACTCGGTCCAGGGGTGGGTGCTTTGAACCGAGATCTAAGACCAACGTCGGTCATTCCTGTTCTGGGTCAGTTCAGGTCCAATCTTAGTTTATTTTTTTATGTTTTCTTATTAGTTCCGTCCCGATGGACTTCGCCAACTCCAAATTAGGTGAAAATAAGAAAATTAAAACTTGTGTGATTGAGATTTGCGCGTATGAGAGAGAAACGAGTAGAACCACAAAAAAGTTATTTTAATTGGATAGTGCAAAATTTTCAGACAACCAAAAAGAAAGTTGTCAAAGTCCAACTTTCTTAAACACTCCGGACTCCACTCCAAACATTTTTAGATTTTAAATGGATTCATACCTCTATTGAAATGCTTTTAAGTCTTGAAATGAAAAATAGAAGAGCAAACAAGGGTCGGATCAGCTAGTTCCATTGTTCTGGTCTCCAAATACCCTAATTGGGACCAGCGCCTGCTCTTCGACCGAACCGGAAACACTAGTTACGATCTTGATCCCGGTTTCGACCGGTTCGGGACAGTGACTGGGTCTGCACTATTAATTGAGCCCATCCTAGACTCAGTACAAAGACTTCGACCATTATTTGGTTTTTTCTACTACACCGATAACCTTTTTGAAATGTTTGCCTAATTAGCTTTTTCATTTGGCTTTTGGTGCCAAAACTAAGTCCCATAAACATGCTCTACCCAAACATCTCTTTCTCCTCGATAGACTGCTTTACTTCTCTGTAATCCATAATTCCATACCCACTCAACGAGAAACATCTTCCGTCGAGGAGTAAAAAGCCCTCATGGGAGCAACTCAGGGCCTTCTCCCGGAGTGAATGTTCTCCTCCAAGGTTCATACTTATAATACGTGTATTTGGAGAAGGTGTTCACCCTGGACAAGCTTTCTATATCTAATAGTGGATATTGCATAACCATTTCTTCTTCGATATACAAGTCTTTGCATAGCTTTCAGCAATGGCAGCCGCTTTGGGCCGGCTAGATCTTATTCTTCGGTCAATAATTTGATCCTTGTTGAGCAGATATATGACTCGTTTCTATTTACAAACCATTAATTCTATCAACTACGGAGTAATTAACTAACACAATGAGCCAACAATCGACCAAACACACCAAAGTCAATCGAGTTTCACAATTGGGATTGATGGGTCCTCCAATCCAATGTGAGTTTTGTGATGTATCTATCTGGCTCGTCTTGCTTGGGGAACCATCCATAATTGCCAATTGGTGCGTGGAACGTTACAAAAGGGCAGGCAGGTATATGTGATGCAAATTAATAACTCCGAAATAGGAGGGGGGGAAACAAATCAGAACTTCGAGAAATTAAAGCAAAAGCTCGCCGCTGCCGTTGAGTTTCTCCATGTCTTCCTTGAACGCAGGCATGGCATCTTCCTGCACGTACACCAACACCTTAAACCCATCCTGCTTAGCTCCGGCAGCGGCGGAGTAGGGCAAGAAGTAGCAAGGCGCCACCCCACCGAGCAAGTGCCTAGTGAGAGGGAAGATGGTGACGGGGCCGCCCCAGCCAAAGTCGACAGTGGCGTGGCCGATGTGGCGCCAGTCGGTGAAGCCGCTCACCCGGTTCCCGGGAGTGATCCCTTCATGGAAATGAAGCTCCTGGAAGTCGATGAAGGAGCGGACATAGTCGTCGGTAGTGTTGAACTTGCTACGGTTGATCAACTCCGCCGTCTTCCACAGCGGCTGTCGGATGAGATCACCGGCCATGAGCTGAACGTACATGGGGACGCACCCGTTGCCCCAATAACCAAACGGAAGCGGGGGCTTCACCTTTCTCCTTATGTTGCTTTGGTAAGCGAATTTTACCGTCTCCTCTTCCCCTATCTTTGATGCCTTCACGCTGTTTCATTCGTAAACATATCAAATACAGACAATTGATTTGGACCATACAGTCTCTATTCAAATTGTTACTCATAATTCTTCTCAATGACTATATTGTAAAAGGAAAATCAGAATAGTAAAGTAATACAGGGAGTACAAATTAAAGTGAAGTGATGAAATGAATTGAGAATGATACCTTGCTCGCCATATGAAAGCACCTAAAGCTTCAAACGTGGTATAGGTTGAGCCGGCGGGTGATGTGTGAAGCAAAGCGGCTTTGAGCCGCTCCAGCCACTCCTCCTTCATCTCAAAGAACTCTCGAGCCACGCCGCCGCCGGAGCGGGCATACGGCACCGAATCTCTATCCAAGCTCAAGAACTGGTGCACTGGAAACTCAACCCGGGGCGGCTCTCTTGGCCCGAGCAAAGCCGCCCTGTCCCAAACCGGCTCCACCGAGAATGCCGCCTCTCCGCGAGCCACCTCCGCCATCGCGTTGAAGAAGAGCGTGGCCCCCATCCCATCGCACATCGCGTGGTGCACGGCCGTCCCCATCACCCACCCGCCGCACCCGAACCGGGTAACCTGCAGGGTCAACGGGTAGGCCATCGCCTCTTCTACACTCGGGTCGGGTACCAATCTCTCCACGAACTTCTCATCCGGGTCGTCCAGATAGTTAACGGAGCCGAGCGTGCAATCCGCTGTAGCCCGCAGCACCCTGACGCCGCCGCCGACCGGGCAACGCAACTCGAGACGGTTATCGCCGTCCCGGCGGCGCAGTGTCCCGGCGAAGTGGAACCAGCGGACGAGCGCGGATGAGAGGGACGAAGTGACAACCTCGAACGGGTCGGCGGCGGCTGCTGGTTTTGAGGTGTGGTGGGCAACGTATACCCGGAGGTAGCGGAAGACGACGTTGAGATTCCGATCGGTGTCGAGGTGAGAAAGAGGGAAGACGACGTGGTGGTCGAAAATCGGCGGAGATGAGGGGCGAACGGTGACGGTTTCTTGGATGTGAGCTTCCTCCATTAATTCAATTGGGAGGATTAAGCAATTCATTAATTAATTAATTAATTAATTAATGATAATGTGGATTGTTACTGGGTAGCTGCTGCTATAAGCGGAGATGGATGGAGTTTATAGCTACAAACATCCGGCCGCGACTCGTGACGGCTCCTTTGTTTTGTTTTGTTTTGTTTGTTTGTTTATTGATATTTAGGGAGGAAGGAGACGGGGTGGTTGATATCTAGTCGCGGTCAGCGCTCTAGTTTCGGCAAATTATACCGTGCAACCGGTATGTGCACGTGACATGTGAGTTGCAATACGGTGCCGTTTTTAATAATAACCTCAAAAATATAGTGCACACTAGCTAGCACTTCACCTCCCTTGTTTCTTTTTTTTCTTCTTTCTTTTCATAGACTCCACTTATCTTTCCGCCATCGTTTTTTTTTTTTTCATTCTATGTTTGCTTTAATTTTTTCATTATCAAAAGCAATTATCTTATGATTAATTCTACCAAAAGCATGTTAAATTCTAAATTTGACATGAAGGATATGGGGCTGGCCGATTTAATCATTGGGATTAAAATAATTAGAGGACATAATGGTCTTACGCTAAGTCAATCTCATTACGTTTATAAAATCCTTACTAAATTTAATAAGGATGATTATCAAGAGTCAAGGACGCCATTAGATAAAAACGTACACCTTACCAAAAATCGTGGAGAGTGTATTTCTCAAGTAGAATATGCTAGGATTATTGGAAGTTTAATGTATCTAGTGAGTTGTACCAGGCCTGGTATTGCCTTTGTGGTTAGTAAGCTAAGTAAATATATTAGCAACCCCGGTGATGAACTGGAAGGCAATAGTAAGGGTTTTGAGGTATTTACGAAAAAGCCCAAAACCTTGGACTGCACTATGGAAGATATCCAGCTGTACTTGAAGGGTATAACGTCGTTAGTTGGATATCTGACATTAAGGATTCAAAGTCCACGAGTGGATATGTTTTCACTTTGGGAGGTGCAGCCGTGTCATGGAAATCCTCGAAACAAACTTTAATAGCTAGATCCACGATGGAATCTGAGCTAATAGCCTTGGATAAGTGCACTGAAGAGGCTGAATGGCTACATCATTTTCTCGAGGATATTCCAAGTTGGGAGAAGCATGCCCCTCCAATATGCATACATTGCGATTGTCAAGCGGCAATTGGAAGGGCACAGAGCAATCTCTATAATGGTAAGTTTAGACACGTTCGTCGTAGACATAACACCATTAAACAACTCCTCACAACGGGTGTTATCACTGTTGACTACGTGAAGTCAAAGGATAACATAGCGGATCCGTTAACCAAGACATTGGATAGAGAATTGTTGGAGAAGTTGTCACGAGGAATGGGACTAAAGCCCATGAATTGAAAAGTTCTATAGTGGATACCCAACCTAGTTGGTCCTAGGTTCAAAAGGGACAACTAAATTATAGAGCGAAGGATGGTCACTGTGGGGGTCCCGGACTCCTACCCACTCCTCGTTGAAACAGTGACTCCCGCACAAGGTTAGCAAAAACGTTTGCTTTAATGATTCTAAAATGTTGATCTACTCGATAACATTGGAAGAGTATGCGAGATACTCGTGAAAGAATCACCTATGTGAGAGAGAAGAGGGCCGCTTCAGAGGAGAACTGTAAAGGCTCAGTTCTTTAGAAACTCTTGCAAAACCAGGATGGTGACCCATGGCCAAAACGGGCACACCCTTGAGAACGGAACAAAGTTGCAAAGTTCTTGTGTAAAGATAAGTCAATGTTTACACGACGACAGTATAGTTCAAGGACATCGAGTCTACTAGACAGCTAGTAAATAAACGTGTCTTTACAGCGGAAGGTTCAAAGGATTAAACACATCTCTTCGTATGCAAGGATCATCCAGTGAACACAACGTGTCCTCCTATCTTCGTGTCTTTTTAAAGTCTCGGAAATCAATTTTCATTCATGTGGGGGATTGTTGGAAAATGTGTGAAAATTGCATTAAATGGTAATTTTGGGGCAATTTTTTGAGTGGGGTCCACTTCCGATTTGGGTCGGATCAAAGTTTTTTCGGATTGCCCTTGCTAAGGGCTACAATTCGATATATGATACGCTCAAAACGGATAACGGATGAATGAGAAATTGATTCTCGAAGTTTACCCGTTAGAATGGAAAAACAGGGAAAAAGGATGGGTTTCTAGTGTGTTATTTCCCACACCGGAAAACCCAAGGAATTTGCAACCCTTTATAAAGGGACTCCCCCCTTAAGGAGTTAAGATTCTTAAGGTGAAAGGCTCTCTCATGCGCGTGGGGGGGTGCAAATCAAATCCCGAAATGGAAAAGAAAAACCCGCGACTTGCGAGCGCGGGCGATCTGCGGACACGAATGTCGTCCCAAAATCTATCTCTCAAAAGATACGATTTAATTTTTTGTTTTCTTCCCGGTGTTCTTGTGGGGGTCTTCTGTCGCGCAGCTGAACTGTTATAGCAATAAATGTCCAACGTCCTTATCGTTTAATGCAGCGTTAAATGGACAGTTCATGGATGATTCAATGCCCAACGGACTGATCATTGATGTCCAATGTTCAGGTCCATTAATTCACTATTTACACACAACAAATCCTCCTATATAATGGCTGGCGGGTGGTTTGCAACAACACACGTTCTTACACGAGTTCATACACATTCCTCACGTATTTCTTCAGCTAAAAACACCTCCAGCTACCTCTGGAAATTTCCTTCTGTGTTCGTACTTTGTTCTCGTTCGCTAGAACTTTTGTTTGTGTGCTCAAACATTAGTTCGTAGTCGTCATATCCTGGGAAACTATTGTTGCAACGCTCCTAGTACCGTGGGAGGCAACAAATACGTTTTAAGGACATCGTGCGCAGCACAAGCTTTGGCTAAATTCCGTTGCATCTCATTTCTTATTTTTCTTTAGTCATTTTAATTAATTTATTTTAATTAATTTTCTTTATTTTCCGAAACACACCCAACAGTTTGTATGCTCTTTATTTGTTTCATCTTGCTCAAGTAGTATATTTAGGTGGGTGGGTTTACATTCCTGATCTGCATCATACAAAGTATATAAGATTGCAATCCTGTAAAATAAAAAACATCATTAAAACACCAAATTGACAATTTTAAGCAGTTCAAATTGAAATAGTTTTAAAGGCAAAGTATATAAAAATTAAAATAGTTCTCAACTTCATTGTCGAATGAAGTTAAGTTTTAACAAAAACCAAAAGAAATTATTTTTTCTTCCTAATGCTTTTCACTACTACCATTGTTTAATGATTATTTTCATTCTCTTGTGATGGGCATTTTAAAGGAATTGGAACTTCAAATTATCATGAAGTGTTGCATTTCTAGTCAAACCCGTATTTAACAGTTATCAGTTATCAATTAACATAAGTGCAAAAAAACAATAACATTAATATTTTGCATTAAAAGTCCAAAATATTACCTTTGTTTTGGTGACTACCCCAGACTTTCCTTTTCATGGATATTTCCCAAATTGGTTGCAATCTCCACACTCTGAAATAAAAAAACCAAAATTAAGATATTTATGGTTCATCAGTATGGATAGGAACTTATAAAATTTATGAAATGAAAATATGTGGATATTATTTCTTTTATTTTTGGCATTTTTCTACCTTTGTAGTGAAAAGGGATCTATGTACAACGGTAGTCCTTGAGAAAAATTTCAAGCCTTTCACCTCTTTCAATGTGGCTGGCAACTCTCTCCCCGAAGCGCCCATGAAGTTGTGTGAAATTTCATTTGTAAAGCATCAATATTTATAGTGGGTGGCTTATGTGTTAATTTGCATTTATCCATTGGACAATAAGGTGTATCAATTCAAAATTTTGAGATTAGTGCAATAAATGTCTGATTTGATATTTCCCTACTTTTTGGTTATTACCCAAACGAAGTATGCCCATTTGACCAAAAGCGGTACAGCCTATTTAATGCGAATTGACACAGCCCATTTTTATTTTCAAATTGGTTCAATCTTCGACAATGCAGGACAACTGAATCTGCTTTTTATTGAGCCTCACAATCTAATTTCTTGGTTATTGGGGGCTGCATTAAATGTTGTACGAATTGGGCCACAAATTTATCACAAAAGTTTAGTAACAGGGTTGACCCCACCCGTACCCGTATTTGGCCAAAGCTTTGGGCGGGAAAACTGGCCAAATTTCCCCCTCCTTTTGTATAATAAAAGATTTGGGGTCTCGTCTGATTATGATTTGGTTGGTTTGAATTAGTCTAGTTTGATAAACGTTTGTCTTTGTATAAAAGTCTGATCTATTTAAATCTAATCTAGTCTAATATTTTTTATCTAGATGCCCCTTATGCCCTGGGCGACACACGTGCGTTGAAAATAGTCTAAAAGAAGATCGACATCTAAAATCAATTTCCCGTTTTCCATAAATGTAAATGTAGATACTCATAGGAATCCATGTTTTGAATGGTTTGAATGGTGTAAATGTAAATGTAAAGGGATCCATGGTTTGAATGGTTTCAAATAGAAATATACGAAGTAGTTCATTTTTTTCATAAAGTGATGTATGTCTTCTCACCTTATAAGCTAATTAAAAAAGGTAATTCCTTTAATGAAAAATGTTTAAGGTATAAAAGTCCCCAAAAAATCTCATTTTCCCTTCCATCTTCTCTCTCCCTTCTCTCTTTTCTCAAAAAAAAAAAAATGTGCATGATATGATCATCTTCTCTTCTTCATCTTCCTCTTCCCATCTCCATCCTCTTTATCCCTACCTTCTTATATCAATTTTTTCCATTATGTGCACAAAATCATTTTATTTATCTTATTTGATGTACTTTTATTATTTTTCTAATTTTTTTCAAATTAGATGTACATTGATCACACCATTCATTTAGATGTATATAGACAATTATTATTTTGTTCACCCAGACAATTAAAATTGATTACACTGACAACTAAAGTTAATCATACAGACAACTATTGTCTGTTAGCTGCACGACTATTGTCTGTCTAGTAAATATTGTCTGTGCAACAAGAAAATATTGTATGTGCACACAGGCACAACACAAATATAGACTGATTTGCAAGGTTGGTGATAGTGTTAGACGTCTATCAATGTACTTTTTTACACGAAAATTAATGTAGGTGGACACAGACAAAAGTTGTCTATGTAC